AAGTAAAGGTTTACAAGTAAACTTTGGTAGATTTAAAAATTTATTGAGGAAAAGGGCATTGATGGGATGCGAGCGAAATTTTTTTTTTAAGTCAAATATAAAAAGATAAAACATTAAATTACTATTTAAATTATTACATTACATTGAAAAGGTATTTAAATATATAATTTATAAAACGTTTTATTTTAAATTATATTACCAAAGAAATATAATGAAATTTATATTTTTTTATATTTAGGAGTTTCTTAAATTAAAAAATATTTTTGGAATATTTGTGATTAATCATTGTGATTAATCATTTCCGAAATATTAAAAATATATAATACTTTGTTATAAATAAAAGACTTCAAGGGAGCTCATGGCCTGTGGATCCGTTAGTGAAGGTACAGGAATATGAATGAAATTGGTGACGTAAACGACAGTAATTCTCTAAAGAGGGCAATGCCTTTTTGTGATTCCCAGAGATGTGATGATTCATAGGAACAATCATATTAACACTAATAATTTGTTTTAAAGGAAGTCCGCACCTTTCTTGTAGCTATTTCTCGTAATTATTCTTTTACAAATATGCAACATAAATCCTTCTATTTTTAAATTGTTTCTAATATCGAAACGGAAACATTTGGATATATTTTTGATTGACATAAGTTTTTAAATAAATTAGTTTGATTATTGTTTATGATTTTTGTAAGAATACATTTATCTATTTTTAGTTTAGTTTTATTAAAGACTATTAATTTCATTAATAAACTATTATACGGATATATTGCGAAAAATGAATGTACAAACGGAATGTACGACCGAAAAGAAAATACTCCGAGAATAGCTGTTATGTCATTTATATTTTAAATGATTTGATCTTTGTCCAAAACAATAATAACAAGATGACGCTAACATTACGCATAAAGTTAAAAGTTGAAATAAACACTATTATTCATGTCGATTTTAATTATATTTAGCAATTGATGAATGTTAAGTGTTGGAAAGAGCATAATCGATCGCAATGTGTTGCGAGTGTGCGTCGTCGTGGTAATACAATGATGAATGAAGGCTGTCTACGAATACAAGTAATGACGCAACGCGTGAAATAGTGCCAGTAGACGGACCTTTATCGGTATTCCTTTCTACACGTCATACAGTATATATATATCGAACTTCGGACTCGCCCATAAAACGACCGCGTGGAAAGAAGCCCAGAAATCTTGTCGCGAAGAGTCGCATCGCGCAGAACTTGATTACTCAATGTTTTGAAATATAATTATACTTGTCGGACTTTAACCCTCGGAAGACAGGCTGGTATTGAATTTAACCTTTTCTCCCATTTGTTAACGCGCGTTAGCGATTGCTCTTACGTAAAAATACTATAATGTATAATTAATTGAAATGTTTGTGCATTTTTATCAGAGTTTTTAATATATATAATATATATA